CAGAGCCCACCCTGGGGTGCCTCCAGGCCATCCTCAGAGACGTTGTGGTACACCACAACAGAGGCCATGCCTCTGCCCCTCTCCTATCAGTCTCCTGGAAACAGTGTGGTGAACGAGGAGTTGAAAATGGAGACATGAGAGAGGCAGTCACTGGGAAGGACAGTCTTGATTCACTGGTGCCTCTTGGATGGGTCTCTCTGAGCTGTCTGGGACTATACTGGGACTGATCCCCAAAGGAGGCAAGCCTCTCATCAGGGCTGCCGGGATGAGGGACTGAACCCATATAGGAACCAACCTCACTTGGGAGGTCCCTAGTTCAGTCCCAGACAAACAAAGCCAATTTTGTGGCTTCCCTCCTTTTTGTGCCCGGGATTTTTCTTGTGTGTCGAGTGGTTCAGCTTCCTCTACTCCTACCCCTCCAGTGTGAGAGGCCCCACGTGCTCATCTGTTTGATGGTGCAAGTGTCCCTTGCTTGCACTTCTTGGTGGGGTGTATTGGTAGGCAGGGCCAAGTCTGCAAGGAGGAGTTGCAGCACTGGGGCAGAACTGGACCAGGGATCTTCTGTGGGACTCTACAAGCATGGTGTTGCCTTTATGGGGACCAACACAGCTGAGAAGCAAATGGAAGATGAGGCCAAAAGCAGCAGCTGGTGTCTGGAATCATGGTGATGGGGACATTGCTTTGTGTACATGTGAGATTGAGAGAGGGAGAGCAGGACTTTAGTTTGAGTCCTGCTCAGTGATAAGACTTGGAGAGTCTCTAGGAATGGCTTCTGCACATCCAGGGCAAATGATGCAGGGGTCAGGGGTGAGGTATTTCTGCACTTGATTTTCCCTGTATAGCTGAGCCTGAATCCTCCAAAGGGAGGACTGGACCAGCCCTTCCTGTCCTGCCTCTGCCACTGAGCGCTTTCCTGGTCCCTTCTTTTCCAGATACTACAAGCCCTCGGTGGTGTTGCTGTGCTTCACGCTGCCCACTTTAGTGCCGTGGTACTTCTGGGACGAATCCATCGTCATCAGCTTCTTCATTCCAACCATCCTGCGCTACGCCGTAGGGCTCAATGCCACTTGGCTAGTGAACAGTGCTGCTCACATGTTTGGCAACCGGCCGTATGATCAGCACATCAACCCACGGGAGAACCCCCTGGTCAGCCTGGGGGCCCTAGGTACGTTCAGCATCCGTGTCTTTCGCTGCTGGTAGACTGTAGAGCAGGCACTGCCCCTTAGGGCTGCAGTTTCTGGGAATTTCTGTGAATCCAGGTGTCCCCATATCCCTCTGCACTCTTCCCCTCCAGCCATTGCATCTGGATGTGTATCCCAGACTGCCCAGTGAGTACATAAGGGCAGTGGGGTTATCAGCTCCCACCAGCCTCTCTCCGGGCTGGAAAGGACTCTGCTACACTTAGCAGCACCTCCTTATCTCAATAGCAGTATTTTGTTTACCCTGCTCGAAGGTCTCTCTTCCCCATTCACCAGGCTGAAAAACGTGTGCTGCAGTATCTGCTTATCTGTCTTAGATTTGTCAACTTGAAGACCAGCAGATGCACATCTGGACATCTCAGGGTAGCTGGTGATTTTGGGTGGGGTACTTGAGGATCATCATGTGTTTCCCTGAAATTTTGGGGACCTAGGAAAGTACATCCCAGAGTCAGCATTTGGCCTGATCTAGTCTCCCAAGCCCAAATCCTCAGCTGGTTTGCATCAGTGTACACCACTGGACCTGCTCCTGGATTTTTAGTAGGGAGGGATTTGAGGTGTAGAAACTCAGGGGGTAGGAGCAGGAGTCCAGGTGGTGTCATTGAAGGGGTGTGAGCACCAAAGCCAGCCTTGACAGTCTCTGGAGCAAAGGGTTGCTGGCTGGGGTAGATCACTTAGTAGAAGTCTGTCTGTTTTACTGTCATCTGGAAATGCCCTTTGGATTTGGCATTAGGACTGCCAGTGTTATAGTGGTATTGATTGTCCTGGCTTGTTGTGGACTTGCTGCAGATCTAGCTGGTAGACTAGAAGGTTTCTCGTGGTGGCGGAGTAAAAGCCGTTAGGATTCTCCTGGTGTTTTGGTGCAGTCTGTGAGCCAGAGCCTTTCTTGGTTCCTTGCCACACGCTTGTCTTCCTCTAAAGCACCATAGGTCCTCTATGACTGTCATTGCCTAATTTGGGCCAGCCTGGGCCTGCTGGACCATGCCCACATTGAGATCAGGTAGATTGTAGAGAGGTGAAATTTGGCTGAGAGGAGCCTGGACTCAATCCAGAGCCTGTTTCAGGAAGGTGGTGCTTTGGGCCAAGAGAAAGAGGCCATCACCTAGAGCTCTGCAACATCCTCTCCCTGGTTGTGTTTTGCAGGAGAAGGCTTCCACAACTACCACCACACTTTCCCCTATGACTACTCCACCAGTGAGTTTGGCTGGCGCTTCAACTTAACCACAGCCTTCATCGACCTCATGTGCCTCCTGGGGCTGGCCAGCGATCGCAAGAAGGTCTCCAAGGAGGTCATCCTGGCTCGGAAAATGCGGACTGGAGATGGGAGTCACAAGAGTGGCTGAGTTCTTGCTCCCCTTTGCACACACATCCACACCTCTCCTTCCTCCTTTTTTCTCCCTTTCTCCCTTCCTGACCCCTCTGAACACGCTGGACAAAGGTTTAATGTTCTGTTTACTAACTACTGAATAATGATACCAGTTTGCTTAAGATAATGATAATGAGTTTTAACCCCCCTCCCACACTGTATTTTACGTGATGTATTTAAGATCTAGGACTCTGCCTTTATAACGCAAGGCCACCCCTTTCCCTCCTCTCCTTTTCCTTTCCGTCCTTTCTCTCTAGCCCCTCTGCCCCATCTCCCGCTTTACATCGTCCCGGTCTCTCCCTGGCAGAGGAGCTGGTAGGAAGCAGCCTGGGGAGGCCCATTTGCAGCCGGCTACATACCATGGAGTTAAGGGAAGCCTGTACCAGCCAGCTGAAGAGTTGAGCCAAAGTCGGTGACCCTCTCCCCACCACCTTCCCCCCAAAACTCCTCTGTCCCTCCTCCTTTCTCAAGGGCTGCTGGCACACATGGCATGGCTAAACTGCTCTCCCTGGAAATAGCAGCCCTGTCCCCTTCCCCTTGCCATCAGAGAGTTGTCTCTTGGGAAGCGTTCTCCCCTCCTCCCCATGGCACAGCCTCTCAGGCTGAGACGGGGAGAGGAGAGGAGAGGAGAGGAGAGCCTCCAGACTCTCTCAGAGCTCCAGCCAGGTCCACTGATGGCCGGTGGCCTTATTGCCTCCTCTGTCTGGCATCCCAGCTCCGCTCCCTGCATTGCCCACTGTGTCCCCTGCCACCAGGGACTGAAGGCAGAGCCTGGCTCCAGGCTTCAAAGCCCCTTTGGAGAGCCACAGAGAGGAGAGGACAGATGGAGGGGTGTGCTGCTGGCTGCCATGGGGTGGCCCCGGCCTTGGGTGGTTTTGTTCACCACTGCTGCCGAGATTTTTGCCGGCAAACGGGACTTCGCCAAAATGGAGAGGGGGAGAAGGATGTAAACCAAAGCTCCACTGCTGAGTTAAGCTGCTTTATGTTCTGGAGGAACAGGGTCCCTGCTGGGTGGCAGGTGGACGTCCTGGTGTCCCTACCTGCCCTGCGCATCCACATCCTGTGCTGAAGGCAGGGACGGAGCGAGGGAGGGGTGAGGGTGTCTGCAGGAGCAGGCATCCCCATCCTCATGGGCTCGGTCGATTAACAAGTGCCTGAGAAACACCAACGCGGGGCCAGGCAGCACAGGGGCCTTGAGGGAGCCGAGACCTCTGAGACGAGACGCTGCCGCCAGCGTGGGCCGCCAACGGGCTTCCCTGCCCAGGGTCCACCGGGGTGGTTTGCAGTTCCCTGCCCCTCTGAGGGGCTGGGAGGCACTCCTGTGGGAGCAGGAAGGGGAGGTGAAAGCAGCTCCTTGTCAGTCCCTTAGCTTGCCTCCCAGCCCCTTTAGCAAGCCGTCTTGCCCCCTTGCTCCTTCGCCGGTACAGCCGGCAGCGAGGGCGGCTGAGCCTGCAGAAAGGTCAGTTCTGTCCCGGAGCCACTGTGGGCACACAGCTGGAGGGTGCGCGGGAGGAAAACAGTCCTCGTGGGTGTTGTTTCCTGCAAGTTGCAGAGACCACAGCTTGAGTTCAGGCGGTGGGTTAGGTTCTGGGCGTCGTGGCCCCGAGCCCCTCACTGGGCTGAACGTGCTTTTTTTCCCCTTTAACTCTCCCCATTTTTATTAATTTTTATTATTATCATTAGTTGTAGCAATAGTATTGGTTTTGTTGCATCAAATGGAGCTGGAGGAAAGCACAAGAGGTGGCCGGAACGAGGTGATGTTGGAGCGGGGCTTGCAGCATCTCCCTTATTCAGGCAGGCCAGGTTGGGCAGAGACGGAGCGGATGCCAACTTCCTCGCCTCAGCTCTGCCGGCAGCAGCCAGGCAGGCTTCACGGGAGCGAGTCTCTGCAGCTTTGCTTGCTCCTGCTGCTGCAAAACCCACCAGGAGCCACGGCAGCTCTGTGATGCTCTCCTTCACAAGAGAACGCTTGTTACTCAGAAAAGAATTCCTCCTCCTCTCCTTTGCCTCCCTGCCACTGCCACAGCCTTGTTATTGCTCAGCAATGGCACCCTTCGAGGTTCGGAGCCATCAGGAGCGATGTGGTCTCCCGACAAGAGGTGCAACAGGGAGGAATGAAGCAGGGAGCTCTTCAGCTCATGGTGTCAGGAGACAGCATCCTCGTGACTGCCTGGGGGCTGGCTGGGGCCAAGGGGCTGTGGCTAGGATTGCATCCTACCATTTAA